TGATGAAATCTAGCTGTCAATTTAGTCTCTTCATCTCTTTCTATGTGCCATATTCATTCAGAGCATTGAAAATCATGGCTCTCCACAATTTCCTGTCTTTTTCTCTTTTTTCCTATGTCTCCTAAATTCTGTTCTGCTATATATTTTCACAAGCTCAATTTAGGCATTGTCTTTCTCTGTCCGTCTAACATGTAAGTATCAAAATCTCCAAACCTTCTTTCTTTTCATTTTCCCGAAGAATTTCAATCGTCTCTTTCTGATGTAAAGTACTTTTTTCTCATTTTCTCTAAAACTTCGTCGTTTCTCACATGTTCAGTCCACAGTATTCTCAGCATCCTTCTGTAGAATCGCACTCCTATTGCTACAAGTCTGTTCCTCTGTGTTGGAAATTATCTAGAATTCAAGGCAATATAAGAGGATATTGCACAACATTTCAGTACTCTTTTCCCTGATTCCAATGATATGTTCCTGCTTTTTAATACTTAATATAATGATAAGCTTTTTGATATCACCTTTAGCTAACCAAATGAACGTTCGGATTCCACCATTAAGCTTACATTAAAGAGGTCATGATACCAAAGAGAAAAGCTTAGAAAACATATGCCACGATAGTATTTATAAGAAATGGAAGCTACCTGGTGTTGTAATCTAGAAAAGATTACTGTATGAGGAATAACCAAAACGAAGGTTGAAAAGGAAACGGTAATCTTTATAACATCAACAAAATACAATGCTCGCCAGCGTCTTGAAGTAGGTAAACTACTACTAGTGGTGGACTAATAAGACATCATATTATGCCCACAATAGTGTCCAACGTATTTGTAAGGATTGGGACATACCCATTAGTGTTCATAGGTACGGTATATAACAATAAGTGAGCGACTGAAACCGAGATGCCAGGTCCGGATAGTTTATATTGCAAATTCTTTAGATTTTGACCAGATTCTCAAGATACAAACAAAGAGCAGAAAACCATATATGGGAATAATATTAAAGAGGCGGTTGTATATTGGAGTCAAAAAGGTGAAAGAGCGACTCGCGTTTAAAAAAAGAGTCTCGCACGATAGAGTGGACCAAAATCCTTAAAAGTAGGCATAACAATTGACTTGATATAATCATTCCTATTCATATCAGCGAAACATTTTAGATTAAGCTTGCTCAGAGCTGTAGCCCAAAAGATTTTGCGATTGTTGTCGTCAACTCTATATATTAAGAAATATAGAACATAATTTCCCTAGACACAGACTTACTGGTCCCGTATTTCGAAATATTTTAATTACATACCAGAAGATGTAGATATTTATCTTTAGTGAATGTTTTTATTTTGTTATTTATTACAAAGATGATAAATTGTTTTCTGTTTGGCTTTTTTCCGAACAGTCTGGCAAGAACTTTGAATGCTCCTGTTTGTTGCGTATCGATCGCTTACGGACGCCTGCATACTCAAAGCAATCGTTATCAATCCAGCCACAGGATTTTTTTAAGTGCGTATCTAAATTGGTCGCTTAATATAATGTTCAAGAGTCACTCAAAGTAGAGCGTTACAAAATAAAGTTCGTCCTGGGTATGACGACAAACTACATCCGTCAGCAAGACCTTTGATCAAGAAGTTGTAAAGAGCCTGAAACCACCTCTTAATTGCTGTTGATCCCAGGTCCACCCTGACCCGGGGTGGTAGCACATGTCTGGGTCCCAGCTATGGGCAAAATAGTTAACCCCTGGGGTCAAAACATTACGAAAGTGTAAAAAATAGGTTTTAATACTAGTAATACATATTTTTGGAAAAATTATTACCAGCAATTCATTTTTGAAAAAAATATTACCAGTAAAAAATTCTTGTTGGCATAAAATAACCCATTAAGATTGATATACCGTAAACGAAATCAAACCAAACCTGAATATGGTGTGAGAAATGAAGTTAAAAGGAAGAAATAAGTGTAGATTGCGATACTATTGCTGATAGGGTAAGAGTGTAGTGTTTGGGGAAGCATCCATGTGGGAGCATGTTCCATAATGTAGATGTACTTGTGAATAAGCTGTCCAAATGAAACTTTCTTCTTAGCAATTGAATACAAAGGAACAAGGATGATTCATCACCGTAAACATGTATAGTAGGTCTTAGATTTAAATGACTGTTACTTCCATGAAAATAGCGATAGAGTAACGAGACTGATTGCGGGATAGAAAAGAATTCATCACCCACAAGGCCGCGTAGATGCTTTGAAACAATGAGGATTTTGCAACGCCAACGCGGATGCCCCACTTTTCGATCTGATCAGGCACTTGTAAAGATAGGGTGTTGCAAGATGAAGCGGTTAGTTTCCGGAGCGATAGATGAAGCCGATCATTTTTTTCTTTAGAGATTGGATGCTTTTGCATATGAGGATGCCCCAGTAGACCTTCAAATCGAGGGGCCTTCATGAGCGGAAAACGGTTCATGACGACAGGCAATAACGTTACCAGCTTCGTTTTGGATGTATTGAATGTTACAAGGTAGTTTCGCTCACCGCATCCAGCTGCTAGGTAGATCTGAACAGATATCAGCTGCCAAGCCCTAGTCATGAATAAAAAATGTATCTGAAAATAACTACGCTTTCTGGCGTGTAGATCATAAAAACACTCACCTTATACGTTTAAAAATATTTGAATTACTAAATACGCTATACACAGGGTTTCTTAGTTACGGATGACATGGGCTTCTAAGTCGGGTGGGTAAACGGAACAGGAATATACGGTTCTTATTTAACGTCAGTTTGTCATATTTTTGGATTCGTTCGAAAGAAGTTTTTTAATATAGTTTAAGTCACAATTCTACATAAAAACACCAGGTTCGTTCTCATGGTGCAGTTAATCGCTTGTGGCTGAAAAATACAACACCGGCCAGATAGCCACCTCCGAATTAATTTTTTATTTTTTTTTTTTGTAATGCACGTTTGTGGGAGAGACTTTGTAAATCAAAGATAAAACAATGGTAACGCCTTCGAACTATCCTCAGTCAGATGCCGCTAATTCCTATATATATATATATATATATATATATATATATATATCCACTTAGGGCACATCTGCGTAGTGTAATGGTTACCAAGCTTTTCTCGCTAGATCAATTACGACTGATTAGTGAGTCTGATCCTCACTAGGTGCTCTATACTTTCGGCCTTGTGCCACATCTAAGCTACGCTTAAAAATAACTAGAGCACCTCGACGTGGTGTAATGGTTAGCAAGCTTGTCTCGCTCGATCAATTACAACTGAGCAGTGAGTTCGATTCTCACTGGGTGCTCCCTACTTTCGGCCTTGTGCCACGTTTAAACTGAGCTTAGAAAATTATTTGGGCACCTCGAGGCGGTGTAATGTTTAGCAAGTTTGTCTCGCTAGAACAATTACTAGTGAGTAGTGAGTTCGATCCTCACTGGGTGCCCCATACCTTCGGCCTTGTGCCACATCTAAGCTACGCTTGAAAAATCTTTATATATTTTTCCTTTACCTATCACGTGATCATTATTTCAAGATGAGGTCGGCGGGGCTTGCTCTCTGGCGATCAGTGTTCAAACGCAAGTGTCGGCAGCAACACGTTTTTCCAATATGACACTTTTACAGCAGGATGACGGAGTCAGGTGAGTTGGTAGTGAACAGTCTAATGAACAACATTTCTTATGCGTCGCTGCGAGGCAGTCTACTCCTGACTTGTCGTGCTCGTTACTCAGTGTTTTCCGCTGGTAGTAACCACTGTCTTATAGAGACATATTGTTCTTTCTCTTGTCATTTTTGTCTAAAAAGGTAATTTATCTTCATTCAGTGACCCTATTTGTCCGGGCCATTTGCCATGGTCTTTAGGGGACCACTTCATTTAGCTGATAGTCCTCAGGGGAAATAAATTTTTGAAACCATTTTTGTGACAGCTCAGATGTTGTCCATTTAACCCTGATATAGCTACAAGTCCGGTAGATGATCGGTATGATAACAGAATGAATGTAAAGTGAAGTTCCCAGGCTAAACGGTTTCCTGTTGAGGTTGGTTACAGAGGATGCAAAGACATTCCTTAAGGATAACCAAACAGCAAATGAGAAGATAGGCAATTAGAACTGTCTCGAAAGCAACAAGCAGTATTGGTTGGAGAAATGATCCCCCAGAAAATTTTTTTTTAAGTAACTCGCAGGCATTAAACCAGTTACAATAGATGGTGAAGCCTAATATCTGTGAGTGGGGTCGGTTCGCATTACAGTCCGTCGAGTGGCAGGCCTCGAAAAGGCCTACATACACTCTTGATAACAGCGATTGCCTCTTGATATCTGGTTTATGGAGCATTTGATTGACTATATTTGCGGAAAAAACCTTGACAAAATCGAATGTTATAAGTCTTGACCCGGCATCTCGGTATCTTAAAAAATGTAAAAGTCAAAGTCAATCATGATTTTCTGTCTCCATGAATACTGGACTTTTAGATTTCTTTCTCCTCACTAAACTCTTATCAGCTTCCTTCTCTTTCAGTAACATATTGCGTCTTAGTGACTTTATCGCCTTGCGAAATTATTTTCACAAAGTTCTCCATTTCATCTCTTTACTGGCTTACGGCCATATAGCGTTGAAATACCGTTTACCCTACGATCAACGAAGCAACATCAAACCTGGTCAGTACCTACATAGGTAACCGATTGGAACTTCCTGGGGCTGTAATCTTGGATGTGCGGGTGGTGTAATGGATAATAGCATGGAATTGTTAATTGGAGAGCAGAGTTCCAATTCCTGTTGGGTTTGTTATAATCACTGACGCACAGAGTTGGGGAATTTACGAATCCAGCTAATGGTTAATTGGTATTACTTGTATTACTAAATCATTATTATGTCCTCCAAAAAAACTCTCTAAACAAAAAATATTTTCTGGCTTTAAATAACCTGCAAATATTTATTAATCCGGAGACAATCAATTTTCTAAACTTTCTTTGGTTATAAGTCACTTAAGATAGACAGATTTTTATAATCATTAAAACTACTTAGTTATTAGACAGTGACAAACAAGAAGAAGAAAAAGAAGAAGAAGAAGAAGTGGAAGAAGAAGAAGAAGAAGAAGAAGAAGAAGAACAAGAACAACAACAACAACAACAAACAACAAGAATAGGAAGAGAAAGAAAAAGAAGAAGAAGAAGAGGAGGAAGAAGAAGAAGAAAATGAAGAAGAAGAAGAAGAAAAATAAGAGGAAGAGGAAGAAATGAAAAAGAAGAAGAACAAAAGAAGAGGAAGAAGAAGAAAATGAAGAAGAAGAAGAAAATGAAGAAGAAGAAGAGCTATTTATTATTGGTTGCTTTTTTTAGTGTCACATCAACCACTACAGGTTATAAAATGCCTAACCGTCGATATTCTGCACACATTTTTATTTTTATTTTTAGATAATAATGGTTTAGTGATTTATGTCTTATGAATTAACCAATAACTGACAGGATAAAAGGTGGAATCATGCTTTTCCCAACGATACTTGCACATAAGTGAATATAACGAACACAGGTGGAATTAGAACTCAGATCTCCGACTATGCCATTATTCATTACAGAATTCGCCCATACAAGCTTACAGTACCCGTTATTCCCAAAATGTCACCCATCTAGTTAGGGACTGGCCTCGACATTGCTTAAGTTCGGTGATAGTGCGGGAGCCGATGTTGCAACATTATGTGGACTTAAAAGCGAAAAATATATTCACAAAGATGGAACCTGTATTAAGTTTAACCAAACATAGAAAATAAATTAACAGAATGAGTCATAAATTAGAAGAAAGAGATTATATAGAGATTATAGAAGAGAAATCGTTGGAAAAGCATAATGAGTTAGATAATGGCTCTATCGAAAAAATCTTAAGGGAGAACATCTGACTACAACGGCCTGAAACAATACTATACGACATATTTTAATTAAATGAATGACAAATTGTAAGAAAATTATATGTAAATCGTTACGTAACCTGGAAAGAATTTATCAAAATGAAATAATGTTCTAATGAATAGAATAATATATGTGCAAGAAATGGAAATATTAAAACGCAAGTTTTAATTAGGCATTGATAGAAAAAGCTGAAAATGGTACAACGTTGAAATTATAAACTTTTAAATGAATCTGTTTAGACGTGTTTTGGCATGCTGCCCGGGAGAATTCAATGAGTTTCTTTTAGGCTTCTGTTTTGTTTTCATCACTTTTATTATTAAGTAATCGGCATTGTGATAATAGAAGATGCTCCAGGCCAGAAAAAAATATTGAGAGAACCTACCTTTCTTTTAAAATTTTCTCTTATCACAATATGCGATACATAGTAATTAATGAAAGAAAGGAACGAAATGACCTGATCTCCTTGCCCAGACACGTCTAAAAATAAATAATATTTAAAATTTCAATGTTCCAATATCCTTTCCGATCGCTTCATAATTATAACCGACACTATCGATTTTATATATATATATATATATATATATATATATATATATATATATATATCCCTCACATTCCTATACATATATACTTTCATAAAAAAAAACATTACGTTATTCTGATGATGTACTCCTAAAGGTTGAAACGCGTTTTACAGATATTTTTCCGCTTTAGCCCAAATCGTTCTGACATATATTAATGTAGATATCACATTCTGTTGTGGTAGGATCCACCTAATTTGCATAGTGGAGTACCGACCATATAAATATGGTTGGTACCGGGAAGATGAGGGGAGGAATCAAGAGATTCAATCCAGAGACTCTGCCCGACTGCGACTAAGTCAACACATTCTCCAGGAACGGTCTTCCCAAGAATATACAAAAAACTATATGCAAATATTGTGTACACTTTCTTATTTCAATAAATTTTCTTCTAAGTACATTTTGTGGTGTATTATTATTCCATGCATTAGTCAAGTTTCAATACATTCTCTCCTATCTAACTACATAAATAACAGAATATGCCATCAAAAGGGAACTGAAAATTCCCGCAGTAGGGAAAAACAATAACCCGTAGAATAAGGAAATATAACAAATTAGTCTAAAATATAAGCAAGATTGGGTATGAGTTGAGGAAGTTAGCGATTAAACAACACCCGGCAGCAAGGCTTCTGATGGGGAGAGTGAAGGTTTTGAGCAGTGTAGAACCACTACTTAACTGTTTTTTCTCCCAGGTCTAAACTGATTCGGCATACTAGGTCCTGTTAGGGTCTCACATATGGGCAAATAATGAACAACCAAATTAGGGTCGAACACTATGAAAGTATAAAAAAATAGATTTTTGTAGAAACATTACCAGCAATAGAATTTCGTAAAGAAAATTACTAATGCTCCCAAGAAAATAAAATTTTGATATTAAATGACCCATAAGGAGTTGATATGATGCTAAAAAAAAACAAACAATTGATGGATAATATGATTCATTGGTTAGTGTATCAGTGAATGTTCGTTGACTATGAGGGCGAATCGTATTTGTAAAAGTCAGAAGCCTGGACAGAGTAGAAACGTTTAAAATTAACTTCTAGGTAGAACAAAATCTGGTGAATGTTTAACAAATCGATAATTATCAGCGAGTTTGAAATATGAAGGGATGACGGTTTCTCAAGTCGTCATTAGAAAGGATTATCATTTTATATCCTCTTGGAGTTTCTTTAAAATGCTGCTTCCTTTCATTTTCTATAAATGGTAACCGTTTTGTTTAAAGTTCCTATTTTCTTGATTTTAGATGAAACGTCAGAATTTTTTTTTCAATATATTTTTTTTGAAATTTTCATTTTCTAATATTATAATATACTAGAATGAGTCATGAAAATTTCACGGATTTTTCTATTTTAATTTCTTTTATATTTTAATTCTTAACTTAAGGATTAGATAATCTCCTTACGAAGTCCACAATTCTAAAATACCCGTAGCAATTCCCCTATTGAATTGTTATATATTTGAGCTTAAGAACTTTAACCCTTTGATTGCTTTACCGGTGACAGAGAAAATGACGTAATGGCCAGCCACCGCTTGAACAGTGGTAGGGAAAAAAGTCTTGTAAATATTTTTATATCTACCGTGAAACATTACATATCAATTATTTGTTAATTTCGACTCTGAAGCTCAGGCAGAAGGATTAAAATTGTTCAGGAACGCCAGGCTCAAAGGGGTACGATTATATTACAAAAACAAGCATAATTAAAAGACGTAAGCGGGTACAAATGAAAAGATTCAAAACTGACATTGTTTTCAATTTCACTGAAACAGACTTTGAGCCCATTAGATTATCGCCTCATCTATCTTCCGTTTTTTTTCTTTCTTTCTTTCTTTAAAACCAAACAGCTCCTTTGATATATTTTTCTTCCTTTATGGCGACAGGCGAGCCATTACTGGTCTAGCCTCACAATCAAATAACATCGGCCATTGTTTTACTAAAATGGCAAGGCATGACATCTGTGCTAATTAAGTAACGAAATAAGAATAATATGTTAATAACAATTTATATATATATATATATACGGAAAAAAGAAAGCGCTTATTTAAACTTAGTCCAGGAGGGGATATATGTTAAAACGCATGAATGACCTGGAATTCAGAGAATAGTCAGAACCGCTGAAAACACATAATTGCATGAAAGAAAGGTTAAAACACTGAAAAGAGTTCTGGATTATTGAGAAGACTTTCTGACTCTTAATCTCAAGTGTAGACCACCATTTTTTTCTTGGTGTGAACATTCATTAAGTAATTAATAAGACAATAATAATAAAATCAATTACGGTTGTGCAACGAGGAAACAAAGACACGGTTACAGTCAGTAGGTATACAATACTGCAAAATAGCAATGAATAAATAGTAAATACGGTTTATATAGAATAAAAAGAAAGTAAATATCATTTATTAAAGGTTAACAATTTTTCTCATTCCATCGATGTCTTGGTTACCGGAAATGCCATTCGTCATGTAACATTAGCGTAACATTAAAAACTGGATGCTGTAGAATACAATGATGGAGAGATGGCTAATGTTGGAGATGACGGAAGTGGTGTTTGGGAGTCAGTGTTTAATGCCGCACCTGGGCTTTACTCCTGGAAACAATTTCGACAATTCCGCCAAAAAATGTAAAAACATCCTTCTGACGTCAGTTTAAATTGTCGGTTCATTTTTTTTCCATATATTCAAATTACACTTACATAGATACACACACGCACACACACACACACACACACACACACACACACACATATATATATATATATATATATATATATATAACGTCATCCACATATATATTCAGACATATCTCATTAAATAGTTTAGACAAGCGTTGTCTACTTATTTTCAATAGGATCCTCTCATATTCACAGACACGTATGTGGACGGATATGGTGTTGTAAATGTTGTGATATGTTTGAAGCATCTTTCATCTAAAACCCCAACCGTCGAGACAACGTAGTAGTAGTATGACCAACATATATATTATTTTTCTCTGTTGGAGATACAATCTCCCAAGGGTCATTTAAATATATATATATATATATATATATATATATATATATATATATATATATAATTTCTCAGAGTTACCTTGTAGAAAAAGACAATATATTTAAATATAAATGACAATAGGAAAACTGTAATATTTGCCGACGCGTTTCGTCATAAACAGAAATAAATTCAATCACAATTTTGATTTTAAAAATGCTACACTCAGAGTCTGTTTATCCACTGTGTCTGTGTCCTCAAGGACACATGGCACAGTGGATAAAGGCGTTGGTTAGATCCAGTGACAGACCCAAAGAAGGTGAGTTCAATACCTGGTTAAAGTAGTGGAAAACTTTCAGAGGGAAAATTAGCAGGAGATAACTGATAACTGACATCCATCAAAACATGGCACGTGGAACTAGAACAGTCTACCCCAGTGGTCGAAATAAAGGGTTCAGTTCGAAATTCCAATCATCTGAAGAAGGCGAAGCGTACAACGGCCGAAACGTTGTGACAAATATGGCGACAAAGATGAGGACAATAGTCCGACTAATGTAAATACAAATGCTACACTCATAAAAAAAGAAAATAACTCAATCAGAAGGAAAATCCTCGAGAGTGCCGCCATTGAATATTACCCAAATATTAATCTATGCCCAGGCCTTTTCCATATTTCACCTTTCTTAACAGAATTACTACTCTCCCAAACAAGCGTACACAATAATATCGTGAAATCAAAAGAAAATGGTTGAATCCGTCAACATATCAATAATAACAATATCTCCACACGTGACAGTAATTGACGTAATTTTCAGTTGACAGTATTAAAATAGCGTTCTCTAAATTCTTCCAGTTGCTAAGGACATTTTGATTTGTTATTATTAGTTACTTTGCTTAAATAAATTCATTTCGTTTTTGCCTCGAGAATTCCACATTGGACGAAAGGCGTCGGCAACTATTACAGTTTTCCTATTGTCTTTTATATATATATATATATATATATATATATATATATATATATTTTATTTTATATATATTTAACATAATTTAGATAAATTAATAAATTACGTAAATTCTAGAAATTACGTAATTCTAGAAAACGAATAATTAGCTGAAATATATTGGAAATTTTCCAGGTTGTCACTGGACATTAAGAAAACAGGAAATTTAATCAAAATATTTTGAATTAATGGGACAATAAATCATTAGCATAAAGTGATTGACATATCTTTCTCTTTCTCGTCGTGAATGTTCCGAGATCGAGTCCATTCTGCAATAAACCTTGTTTTAAATAACTCAAATTTAATTAATATAATTAATTTAACCGAAACCTTTAATAAAATATTCTTAACAAGGCTCTCATCTTTTTACGTGTATTTTCTAAAAATAGCTTAGATGTGTCATAGGGTTTAAAGTATCCGGCGATGAGGATCGAAATCGCTACTTGGTTGTAATTATCCTAGCAAGACAAACTTGATGACCTCTAAATCACGTCGACATGCTGTTGGGGGACGTGCAGGATTGTTAGGAAATTTTTAGTGGGTGCGTGTCTCACTGCCTCCCCAAACATATAAATAAACGAACTTTCAAATGCAATTAAAAACGAAACATATGCAATTTAGAAAACAATGCAACATTTATATACAATTTAACAATATACAGATTGGGTAATCAGTGTGTGTCGTGTGTACAAAATGTGTGTGTAATTGTTTGAATCGTGAATGTCTCTTGTTGATATTGTTCGTTAGTTCTCTATCTTTTTGTTTGTGTCGAATATCGTAATTATGAATAATAAGAGTTTTTGGAAAGAGTCTTTTAGAGTGGTCTACCCTTAAACGTATTTGATGTTTACTTATTTTTTGTAGTGAATTTAATTCACTGTACATAAGCAAAGTTGAGAAAAGTGTTCACAGAGTTGATTGATGAATGTTCGAATGTGAGTCAGCGAAGTGTCTTCGTGCGCGGCAAAATTGTGTTTGTAGCGGCGTGGAGTATATTGGAAGTTACTCCGCGAACTCGTGAGACTGACTGGCGTGGAGTTGGTAATTGTCTTTAACGTCTGGTCAGCAATGACTAAGACGGGAGTCGGTGAAATGTTATATCTTGAATCTTGGTAATTACTGCTGCTATTCTCTCTGAAGGTTCAAACGTTCTCTGTTTATATATCCACCGGGTTTCGAAAAGTGGCTACATTGGTTTTGGCGCAATTTCTGATTTGCACGTGAACTTCAGGTGATTGACCAATGGGGTTGTTTGCTTCGTTTCTTGCCGTTTTTATTGGTTGAAGTTTTCTAGGTACGTAGGCGTACGATGTAGACTCTGCTTTTGTTAGGGTTGGAAAGGTAAGGATATTGGACTTGTCCACAATGCCTCTTCATCATTTTATAAAAGTCGGCTCATCAAGAGTCGTCGTAGTTTTCGTCCTAGTAAGATATGTAATGATGCATACATTTTTAATAAGAAATGTTATAGCTGCTATGTCGACCTCGCAGGAGCATATGCTGACCACAACAATTCAGGTTTCCTCTTTTCATCCATTAGAAGTTCGGGGAGAGTATTAGCACCTGTTAAGGTCCTCGCTATTGGCAAATTGTGAAGACTCAAACTGGGGTCAAAACACGAAAAACTAAAAATACATTAGAAAACATTACCAGCAATAGATTTTCCGAAGAAAATTTCCAAAGCTCACAAGAAAATGACATTTTAACATTATATGACTCGTAAGGAATTGATATGCCATGAAACAAACCAAGAATTAAATTGCATCGATCTTCGAGAGGGACTTTATCGGTTCACAAATTATTACATATCTGAAGAAAACCCTAGAAGAGAGACGTTTCAAAACTCATCAGAAGTACGGCAAGGATAAAATAATAGACTCCAGTCTATTTAATCCTTTTCTAGATTATATCCTGACCATTTAGAGGCACAGATGTGAAGAGAGGGGCACTTATCTTTTAATCATTCTATATTACATTCTAAACGAATCTAGAAATAGAACATAACGCTCTTGCTTATCCTCCCGGTGCCAATTTACTAATGGTGAGTGGCGGTGGGGGGTGGGTTATGCTGATGACATAGGTCTTCATAGTTGGGATAACAAAGATCTTGAATAGAAAATCAACATCCTCAAACTTTCAAAGAAATAAGACTCGAGATAAAACACTTTCCAAAAGAGAAACCAATGATGGCAAGAAATCCATCACAAAATTTCAAGTTATGGAATTAGTAAATATTAAACACTTTAACTTCATAACTGTATGCATTATTTCTAACAAATTTAGTGTAGAAGATACGAAAAATAAACACGGAATTTTAACTAAAGTCATAGGAAGAAGATTTCAAGACGAAAGCCTTGTTGATATCGAAAAAAATAATGCGATTAAAGGAAAGGTTTTGTAGTGGAATTTAAAGTTTCAGTTCACTTCAAATATATTGGATTTGGAGATTTTCCATTGATAAATAAAAACGGACCTAAAACAAACGGGCGGTACAAGGGGTCGGGGGGGGGGCTAAAATGTTATCAATGTCTGATCGGAAATCAGATATTATTTTACATTTTTTAAATGGAAGTTTTTTTTGTTTTTTTTTTTTACTTTGACTCAGAACATTTCAACAACCACTCGTAGATATATAGAGATGGGTTAGTATGATGTAGACATAGATAGATAGATAGATAGATAGATAGATAGATAGATAGATAGATAGGCAGA